AAAGGCAGAGGGAGAAGTACCGGATGCAGATGCAGGACTTGATCCCAGGACCTGGGATCATGACCTGAGAGCTGAAGGCCGATGCTTTACTGGCTGTGCCACCCGGTGCCCCTCTGCAGCATTTCTTTAATCTCATGGTTGATTTCCTGATTTTCCGGTTCTGGATTTCTTCTGGGCACGTATTATTAACACCCCTGAGCAATGTGTGGCAGTGTGAGGGGCCCACCAGCACAAGTCATAGCCAGCATATCCTGAGTGACGGCCCAGAGCCCATATTCCGGTTCAGGTGGCTGTTGGTAAGGCAGGGTCTGGGCCAGGTGTACACACCAGCGGCACCCTTTGCCCGGCCCACATCTGCCCCAAGGTGTGGCACGGCTTGGGCATGTGACTTTCTGCTGCATACCTGGTGGGGAGCTGGTGGCTTCCAGCATTCGTTGCACCCACCCGGACCCTCGGAGAAGGTGGCTCTTTGTACTGCGGCTTGTCCACTGTCCCACTCACAAGGTACTTTGAGATAAACTGTCACTGTGCCTGTCACTTGTTGCAGTTCCCAGACTGGAGGTAGGTTGTGGGTGCTCTGAAGTTCAGCTGATACAAGGTTGTGAGTTACTGGAAGGGACTGGTTTGGAGCCTGGCTGCTGGGGGGGGGCATCACTGACCGTGTGTCCTCCTCTTGCAGGGCTGGTACATTGTGACCTACGCCTTGGGAATCTACCACCTCAATCTTTTCATAGCCTTTCTCTCTCCCAAAGTGGACCCTTCCCTGATGGAGGACTCAGGTACAGTAGAGATTATCCACCTTGCTTCTGTCTGTTCGGGTTGGTTGTGGTTTTGTAGATTTCACAGATTGCCTCATTTTCTCCACAAGTCTTTGAAATCTGAACTTCTGAGACTGTTCTCTTGGTTTTTAAAACAGACTGAGAATCTTGGATGTAGATGGAGTCATTAAACCTTTGTTGCCACGTGGGGTGGGTGTTCCCGCTACTCTGTGTTGTGGACGAGGGACTTGACCGAGATCACAGGCAGTGTGCATGCGAGGGGGGGTGGCACCCCTGCCACAAAGCCCGCATATCTGCACTCCTTGGGTAGGTCCCCTTCCTGGGGACCAGCAGTGGCCACCGGGATACTGACCCTCCACGGTTGGGCACTGTTGCTGGTGCACTCCCTGATTCCCCAGGATGACAAGTTGAAAAGTTCTTGGCTCACCCTGTTCCTGGCCAGACCTGGGCCAGGTAGGAGGGCCAAGTCCACACCTGCCTGTCCAGCTGGGGAGGAGGGAGGTGGGGGGGGCACAAATGGGGAGTTGGTTGCTCCTGCCAGCACGTGTCACCACTGTTGGGAAAACCCAGGCGCAGTTGCCTGTGGGTGGATTCCTCTGTGCCGGCAGACACACACTCCCAAGTCCTAGATGCTTTCTCCATGCTGCTCAAGTTCTTACCAGCAGCCTGTGGTTTTTTTCTCTATGGAGTATTTAATGAAAACCTTAAAGGAAACAACACTTCCATTTGCTGGCATTTGGGGGAATTAGAAGATGAGACCTGTTTCCTCTGTGTGTAGCTGGGGAAGACGCTTGTCTGGAGTCGAGTGGGGTGGGGCCAGGGCCAGGCAGGGTGGCTTGACTACACCCAGTTCAGTGGGGGTGGGGGGGGTCAACCATGGGGGGGTGCTGAGTTGGACTCTCAGGAGTAGATATAGCTTTGTGTGTCTCTCCTGCCTCTCTTCTGTGAATGTTTCCTCTGCCTTTGTGTGCTACAGTTGATGTGTGCCTCAAGATTGTTCTGCAGTTTGATTTTTATGCAATCATTTACAACGTGTAATTCTTTTAAAAAAGAAGTTCTATTTTGAATCTTCTAAAGCAGTGAATTGATTTCTGAATCAGCTGAAGGCTCCCATGTTGTGTTTGCTTAAATAACATAAATGTATGTTTCGTACGACAGGAGGGCTGGTTCAGAAGCTTTAGGGAGAAACTCATAAACGTAGTGATGGGAACAGATGGATGAGACGCCTGCTCCGTCTCACTGACGTTCTGCCTTTCAGATGACGGCCCCTCATTACCAACCAAACAGAATGAGGAGTTCCGGCCCTTTATTCGAAGGCTTCCAGAGTTTAAATTTTGGTGAGTTAATTCTTAAGGGTAGTTGAGAAAGACACTTGTCCTTGGTGTGGCTAATAAGACTGAGAACAGAGGGGTTTTGTTCTCATTAGCCAGCAAAGACTTCTTAAAGAAATGAGCATTTTATTGTGTGTGTTCTGAACATTCATCCCAAGTGTGATGCTGTGCTTGGCTGGGTGTGGAGGCAGGTCATAGGGGCCTCTCAGAGAGCACAGTGCCTGCTGGCTTCTCTCACTTGAAAGTGAGCACCAGTGCTCTTTGCTTCCGGGGCAGAGGGTCCTGTGTATGTTGCTGTCATGGGCCTCAGGAGGGATGTGTGTGTAGGGTCTGGCTGCCTTGGGCAGACTGGCTGGCCTGTGTGCTGCTCCTCACACGGCACCCCTTCTGATTACTGGCATGAGCGGACTGCCTCCTCCACCCTCCTGCTTGGGGTGTCTGCGCACATCCAGGACAGGTGCAGCCTTGGGGAACATCTGCCTTCACTGGAAGTGCTACGCTCTGGGGAGGGGCTTGGATGGGACTTGGCTTGTCCCCCAGGCCTCCTGGAGGTAGTGACATCTGTGTGATGTTGCATGAGGACAAATGTGACAGGTGGACAGGTGACCCCTGCTGTCATGCATGAAACATGCATGAAGGTGACCCTCACAGCGTAAAGGCTGTGACCTTGTCTGTCATGTATTTGCTGGAGCAAAGAACCGAGGGGAACAAGCTGCTGCACCTCTACTTTGCGTTCCTGGTGCCGTGTGTGGGGTGTGGCAGGTACTCTGCAAGTCTGCCAAGTCTGCTGGTTGGCTGTGAAGGGCATCAGCTGGGGGAGCTGCTGGGGAGCAAGCAGAAAGCAGGCAAGACGGCCCTGCAAGTCCCCCGGGAAGCTGGCCTTCGTCCTGCAGGAAAGGGAGCACCCAGGAGCATTTCCAGTATGGCTGGGAGTCCAGTGGGCTAGGCCCGAGTTGGAGGGAGTTGCCTGGCTGGGGTGCCACCAGGGTCTTGTGAGCGATGCACAGCCTGGGGTGGGGGGGTGGCTAGTCCAGGTGGCAGACCCAAGGCGCCTGGGCTGGCCTTAGCAGCCTCTTCACTAAATGTTTCATGCTCTGTAATTTTGGAAGCACACCGGGGGCTTTCAAGGGGCCGAGGGAATGCCGTGTCTGGTTGCATGTGGTGCGCCCTGTAGGAACACACCGCCAGTACTGCCCCAGGAGGGGTGCTGCCGTGGCCCCAGGCCACACTGACCACCTCCCCTGCTTTAAGGCACGCGGCGACCAAGGGCATCCTCGTGGCCATGGCCTGCACCTTCTTTGAGGCTTTCAATGTCCCGGTGTTCTGGCCCATCCTGGTGATGTACTTCATCATGCTTTTCTGTATCACCATGAAGAGGCAAATAAAGGTGAGCACGGGTGGGCACTGCTGCACGGGGAAGCGCCGAAAGCCCTGCTTGGATCTTCCTGGTCTGTCTGTACTTGGAGCATCATGAAGCTCTGTGCAGGTTTGCAACAGGGACGCGGCACATCCCCTTCCCACCAAGGTGGCCCAGCGCAGATCTGGCCCACAGTGCGGTTGTCCAGCCCACGGACAGCTCTCTGGGGGCCTGGCTGGGAAAGGCCCTCTGTTCTGCCATGCTGTCCTCACTGCCACGTCGTCCTGGGGGTTCAGAGCCCAGGGCCCACCAGACAGTCCCCATGTATTGTGCTGACTTTACCTTCAGACAGATCCCAGGGCAGCTTTATCCCCCCCACTCCTCTGGTAGATCCCAGGGTCCCCCGCCCAGCCCTAGCCCTTCCTGCATGCACAAGGGCATGGAACCTCTCCCAGACCCTCAGGATTTCCAGAGCCCGGCTCACTGGGCTCCAGGAGGGTTTTACTGTGTCAGTTTGTGTCATTGGAGGGGAGGGGACTTGCCCTTGTGTAGGGAAGATCAGGACTCAGATTTGGAGAAAACATAGTTCATCACGAAGCCATTCTAAAATGAGTCTGTTTGTCCCCAGCACATGATAAAGTACCGGTACATCCCATTCACGCATGGCAAGAGGACATACAAGGGGAAGGAAGACGGAGGCAAGACGTTTGCGAGCTAGACACTTGGCCCAGCCCGTCACAGTCTGGGGACGGCTCTCAGCCATTGTAACAATGCCTTCTTCCTTCACATAAAGTAGTTGATTTCGAGGGAGTCGAATTTTCTTTTTAAAAAGGAGCTTCAATTATTTGTAACTGAAATATCAGGTTCTTGAAGAAACTGACATTTAAACCAAATTGCATTGATTTATTTTTCAGTGACATTCAAGTGTTCAAACGGACAGAATTCTAGTAAACTGCTGGTGGGGTGGACAGTTGAGTGGGGGTGTGGGGAGGGGTGGGCGGTCTTGGTTGTCGTGTGGCCTTGGAACGGACCTGCGCTGAAGGAGCCGGGTTGCACCCCAGCTGCCCCAACCAGGACACCCTTGGCCACATCACCCAGCTGGAGGATGATGCTAACCTGATTCCTGTGCGTTGGAAGAACATTTGAAAGGTGATTTCTGAGTAACTCTGGGGTTCTAATGCCAGTTTCCCAATTTTATCTCACCAGAGATGTTTAAAGTTGGTCTCTATCATAATGACTCAAAACTTTGTTCTTAATTACCATGATTGCTTTTTGGGGCCTGGAATTATAAATATATATATTATATTTTAATTGTTTGGAATTATTTTGACACATTTCTTTGATACCTGAAGAGTTGTTTTTGATTAATTTGAAGTTCTCATGCAGTGGCCCCTTTACAGAACAACTGGTAAGGGCAGACCAGTTTGTGGGTTTTAACATGGCTTCTCACTTTCTACAGGAAAACAGAACTCTGACCCGCATGTCAGCTTTTTTGATGTGATAAAAACAAATACTCGTAAACATTTTACTAAGTGACTTTTTAATTCCAACTTTATTAAAGACAGTGTCCCCTTTCTTGTGGAGTCTTTATGTGAAACACTATACAGCTTACTGCCTGTGAGTAAGCCCAGCTGGGAGGTGCACTGAATTCCCCAGGCTGAGCTGGAATGGTCACTGGGGTACAGGTGCCAAGGTACAAGCCCGTGGGTGTCCTCCAGCAGTGCAGACTCATAGCTCTGACCAGTTTTCCATCCGTCTTAGGGGTTTAGGCACTGAATATGTTCACTGGCTTTTTGGAGCCAATTTTTACATATCTAAAGTGGCACTCCTCTTGCTTCTAAGAGGCCACATGAAGATCTTTCATACACCTGATCCCATGTTTAAACCTTGGTACTTAAATATATATATTTTTAATTTTTATTTATTTATGATAGTCACAGAGAGAGAGAGAGAGAGGCAGAGACACAGGCAGAGGGAGAAGCAAGCTCCATGCACCGGGAGCCCGACATGGGATTCGATCCCGGGTCTCCAGGATCGCGCCCTGGGTCAAAGGCAGGCGCCAAACCGCTGTGCCACCCAGGGATCCCTAAACCTTGGTACTTAAATGTTCTGAATGGGTTCAGTACCTTTGATACCTCTGGTCAGATTCCGGAGCCATTTGCACAGGCCTCTGCCAGAAGCCAGAACTGTGGCTTCACACCAGGGTTGGGACATCCTGACTGCAGGTTCTTGCCCTTTATGAATGTGATCTTTGGTTCACCCTTAGGGCCTTCTTAATATACCTCTGCTTCCATGGAGCTCGTTTCTTAAGGGAGCTTACGGCAAAGTCTGGTCTTTTGCACAAGTTAATACTTTTAAAGACCTGAAAGTAACAAAAAAGTGGCAGGAAGTAGGCTGGGCACAGCAGTGACCTGGCACAAACAGCCAGCTTCCCAGGCCTTGGGGAGAGCTGAGCTCTGAGAGGCAGCTGTGGGGCAGGTGTGGAGAACCTGAGCAGCCTGGCACCACATCCCCAGGTTCCAAGCAGAGCTCAGCCGGGATGCACACTGCCACTGTCTAAAATGGGAAACAAACTTGAATGCATATTAAAAGACAGGTACCACGTGTCTTAAGTGGAGATAAAGCATCTTGGAGTTCTACTCCCGTGAATGGATGTGCCCGAGCCACCAAGCAGCCTGGCTCTGGTGACAAGGGCAAAGTTTCCAGGTTGTCAGTGCTGGTGGACGGACCACTGGTGACCCTCGTCCACTCTTCCCCACACTTGCCCGTTCAGGTCAAACCCCAACCCTTTGCCTGAGAATCTTTCTCATCATATGAATGTTGGTCCTGTTTCTGAAACTCATTTTCCAAACCAGTTGAGGAAAGGAGGAGAAACTAACCTTGTCCGAGAGTCTAGCTGTTGAAGAAGTGACCCCAGTATGTCACAGGGGGTGTGTGGTGTGACCCCCCAGGTGGGCTCTGCTCCGACTGCTGCTTGCCATCTGCACCGTGCGCTTGGGGGTTCACTGGGTGGGTGGGCCACACTCAGCCCAAAGGCTTGGACCAGCCGTCTTCCAGGCAGATCCGGCCTCTGTCCTCCTAAGCTGCTGGCATAGTCTCTTCATGTGACAGGAGATAAAATTTGAGAATTCTAGGACTTCTGTGCACATAAAGGTAACTTTGAGAGATTACGTCTATCCCCCGACGTTAAGGAAAACTGGGCTCCTGTCCTTGGTCAGGTTAGCGATAGTGCCGCAGGTAGACGAGCTTCTGGGGAGGGAACTTCTCCCTGCAGAGAGGGCACTCTGTCTGCAGAGAGGGGCAGGGGTGTGTGTGTGTCACACTGGCTGTGGCCAGCAGAGCCCCCTTCCCGGGCCCTCCCGCACTGGCATCTGCAATGACACATGCAATGTACACACACCTCTATTCACTTCAATGAAGACAATTTAAAAAAAAAAAATCACTATTCTCAGAAGTCACAAACCTGAGGGGAAGGCCTTAACCCTGGAGAGTGGGGCAGGAGCAGTGACCAGGCCAGGGAGGCAGCCCTGCCCCTAAGGACAGGTTGCATTCTCTTTCCCCCAGGAAGGCCAGTTCATCTCCCCACAGGCGTTCCTTCCTGGGGCTGGCCACTTATAGGAGGTGGCACCTGTGTTCTGGGGGGAAGAGGGGGAAAGGGGGCAGGGGTCCCAAAGAGGAGGCTGTGGAATCACAGCTGTGAGACCCACATGGCACAGACATTTCACAGGTGCTGATTTTACACCAGCTCCAGCTGGGCTCTGAGGCCATAGCCACTGTGAACCCGGGACACAGGTTCTGAGGGGGGCCCCTTGACCGGCTGGTACAGGTAGATGCCCACAGGGAAGAAAGTGAACAGACCACTTCAACTGTGGGGTGCACATCACCACCTCATCTGTGCAGCCCTTCCCACCCTGAGCCTGGGTGGCAGGGCTGGTGGGGGCCCAGGAACCCACCATCCCTTGCTCTGGTCGCCTGGCACCACCCTGAGGTCTTGAAAGGCTGGAGCAGGCGGCTCTGCATTCTGAGGGCTCCCATGTGGGTGGTCGTGGTGGGGCATCCTGGACAGAGCCCCGCGTGTGCTGGCAAGCCAGGGCTCCCAAGGAGTGGCAGGATGGGGGAGACTCCAGAAAGGGAGCCTCATAGCCCGACCACTGCCCGCCTCCCCACGATGCCTCAGATGCACAGTGCAGCATGCTGACTGACTCCAGATCTGTCCCGTATACTGCTCACATAAGGAGCTTTAGAAAGATACCCAGCCTTCCATCCCTCCTGAGAGGTGCCTGGGCCAGGCTTCTGGATTCCTGGGCCGCCGCCTGGGCCAGCCCATGTACTTGCTCGCAGAGCCCGTGCACGCCCACCTTGGTGTCGCACCACTGGGTGATGCACTCCCAGCAGAACAGATGGCCGCAGGGCGTGGCGGTGGAGTGTCTGCGTTCTTCTAGGCACAGCGTACACACGGAGTTCCTGGAAATGGCTTTCTCTTCCATGTGGCTCCTGGGGGAAGGGGAGAGGGACACCAAAATTTACCCTCAGAAGGCCTTGCAAAACGTGGCCCTTGCTCGGAGCCATGGTCTGCTTAGCGCCCAGCCACCGCCCCCACCTCTCAGGCTGGAGCAGCTGAGCTAGGACCTTGTGCCCTCCTGCCGCCCCCACACCTGCGGTGAGACAGGCCGCGGTGCAGCTTCCACTCCCGCCGGGCGCGCTGCCTCTGCCGGAAACCGTACAGCTGCAGGCCCATGGACAGGGCCAGGTGCACCAGGGAGACGAGCCCTAGCAGCCTGTAGCTTTCTCGAGCCCTCAGGTCCTCCACAGCCGGGGAGCGGACACGAAGCTGTGGAGGACCCCAAGACACAGTCACATGATCAGCTGGCACAAAGCACTGAACAGCTTAGGGGCCAGGCCTCCCAGTGGCACTAGAATGCCCCATAGGATGAGGCCAAAACCCGCCCTCCTGGGACAAGGGGTGTGGGGGACAGGAAATGACGAGGGCATCTCTGCTGAGTGCTGAGCGAGGCGAGGAAGACGGCCATAGGGCTCCAAGTCTGCAGTCACTCTGGCTGCAGATGAGGACTTGGGAGGTGAGGTCCATCAGTGGACCTACGTCTCAGAGAATAAGGCACTGGCAAAGAATCCTGAGAAAAACTGCCTGGGCGATGAGAGGCAAAGTCTCACAAGCAGACATTGCCAACCAGCCTCTCTCACACATAAAGAGAAGTTTCTGGCTTTCAAAAGGGCACCCAATTCCCCCAGGGACGCTGGACCACCCAGTGCAGTGCAGCTAGCGATGCATGAAGGCAAAGTCAGCTGCTCTCCACCTCTGGTCTCCCTTCCCTCAGCCTGGGAACCCCCCAATCACACCCTGTGCCCATGCAGGGAAGGCCCCAGGAGAGTTTGAGGCTGTGTTTCCAGCCCCCACGTGGCAGCTCAGCACACACCCCAGCCACCGCTGGGGGGCCCGGAGCCATTGGCTCCTGTAAGTGTGCACCCTGAGGGCAGGGACTGGACTGGACAGGAGGGAGGCACATGCTTAGGACAGTGCTGCCAAGCCAGGCAAGAAAGGGGGTGACCCTCCAATGATCAGGTGCCGGAGCTGAGACTTTCCGGGTGAATCCGGGAGCAAAGGCACCAGGTGAGAAACAGGAGGAAAGGCTGGATGGCAGGCTCAGATCAGGGAAGGTCCTCGCAGTGACAGGAGGCATCACTACACCTGACCCTCCAACAGGGCAGCTGGGAAGGAGTGGACATGGGGCCCAGGGGCCTGGATCCTCAGGCAGGCTCCCAGTGCTGGCTGTGGGGAGGCTGGCACGCCTCACACTAAGGGTTGACTTTCTGGGATCTTTCAGCAGATGTGATAAAACCCATGTTTCTCAGTAAAGAACCTTGGCTCCGGCCCTGTAATCATGCTGGTGGGCAGGAACCCTAAACACAGGGTCAAACAAGTGTGGACGGCCCTGAAAACTTACATAAGTGACTCCTGTGAGCCTCTTGGCCAGGTGGTAGAAGGCACCGTGGATGTAGAACCAGGCGACATGCAGCCGCTGGAGGCCACTGAGGCCTTGCCTCAACACCATCACGGCCTGCAGGAAGGTCCTCTTCTGCGGCTCCGTCAGGGGGGCCACCTGCCGGTGTACCCAGTGCCTTGCCCCCGACCGGCCACGCCCCCCGAGGACCAGGCTGCCCTGTGAGGGCCTGGCGCCCTCGACATCGGCCTGCAGCTCACATTCCAGGTGCCGCAGGGCCTTGTCCAACAGGTACGGCAGGAGGGTGTGCAAGGCGACCAGCACACCACGGCGCAACCTTGAGGGCACTCTGCTCTGGGACGGGTCCACCTGGATGACACCAACATACTCCTCCCCGAGGGTCTGGTACCCTGCCAGATACCGAGGTGGGAGTGACTCACATGAGAAATTAAGGCAGGGATCTGCCATCCTTCTCTCTGTACTGGATTTTGCTCTCAGGTCCCTGCCTTTCCTCTAGAGCGCAACGCTCCACGGGGCCGCCCCTGACCTTGCCCTGTGACAGAGCTCAGTCCCGGCATCCCCCATTGAGCCAAGGGCCTCAGCCACAGAGAAACAGTCCCTGGGCACCCTGGCCAGCATGCAAGATGAAGGGCCCCAGAAGCACAAAAAGGAAGAGAGAAGATGAGAGACTTAGGGCCGGCCGGGCCTGGCCTCCAGAGGAGGGCCTCGGAATTCCCCCCTTCCCTAAGACTACCTCCGGGCTACACCGGGGGCCCGGGGAAGGCCTCCGGGGCTACTTGTTCGGCCGGCAGCACCCCCACCGCCCTCCGGGCTTGGGTGTTGGGGGCCCCTTGGTCTCAGGGTCCCACCAGGGCTGCCACCTGCAAACGTGGTGAGGCCAAAGTAGGCGACGTCCGACAGCAGCTCCACCTCTCTCCTGCACTCCAGCCACCTCTTTGCACCTGAGACCGGGAGGCGGGGCGCGGTGAGGGTCCGGCTGGGGGCTTCCCGCTCCTCCACCGGGCGGACTCGTCATGGCCTCCGGGCTGCTCCGGGTCTCCCCCCGGCCGCCCCCCGCCCCGCACCTGCAGCCAGGTCCCCCCCGGCCCCTCGGGAGGGCCGCCAGGACGTGTCTGGGACCCCGGCCACCCCCGTGAAAGGGGAGGCGTCCACCGGGCCCCCGGGAGGGACGTTCTGACGATCGCGCGGCGGGTGTTCGTAAAACGCCCACAACGGCATTTGGCGAGAACAAGTGAGGCGTCAGGGACCCACCAGCCGTTTCTTCCGCTCGCACGTCGGCGCCGCCCCGCGAACCCCGGTCCCCGCTGCCCCGTCCCAGGCCCCGGCTCACCCGCCAAGCTGTGCAGGGCGCTGCCCGCCGCGCTCCGCAGCCCGCCGCGGTAGTAGTCGTCCTTCTGCGCCGCGCGAACCACTTCCGCGGGGCTGGCGGCCGCAGGACTCATGGCGGCGGCTCCCGGGACCGGGCACCGGCCTGGTCACGCCCACGAGGGGGGCGGTGCCTGATGACGCTAGCGTGCGGCTCACGCCTTGTGCGTCAGAGCGCGGGGGCGGGGCCTGGGCGGTGCGGGCGGCGGGAGGGACGGGTGCCCGCTAGGGGCGGGCCGTGCGGGCTAGGGGCGGGGCCTCGGGGAGCCGCGAGGGGCGGGGTGGCGACGTGGCCGCTAGCGGGGGTCCGGGGCGGGGCTCCGAGGGGCGGAGGGGGGGACGTGGACGCGGGGCGGGGCTAGGGCGGGGGCCTCGAGGAGCCGCGAGGGGCGGGGGGGCGACGTGGACGCCCGCGGGGGTCCGGGGCGCGGCTCCGAGGGGCGGAGGGGGGCGACGTGGGCCGCTAGCGGGGGTCCGGGGCGCGGCTCCGAGGGGCGGAGGGGGGGCGACGTGGACGCGGGGCGGGGCTGGGGCAGGGCTGGGGCGGGGCCTCGAGGAGCCGCGAGGGGCGGGGGGGCGACGTGGCCGCTAGCGGGGGTCCGGGGCGCGGCTCCGAGGGGCGGAGGGGGGGCGGACGTGGACGCGGGGCGGGGCTGGGGCAGGGCTGGGGGCGGGGGCCTCGAGGAGCCGCGAGGGGCCGGGGGGGCGACGTGGACGCCCGCGGGGGTCCGGGGCGCGGCTCCGAGGGGCGGAGGGGGGCGGCGTGGACGCGGGGGCGGGGGCTGGGGCGGGGCCTCGAGGAGCCGCGAGGGGCGGGGGGGCGACGTGGCCGCTAGCGGGGGTCCGGGGCGCGGCTCCGAGGGGCGGAGGGGGGGCGACGTGGACGCGGGGCGGGGCTGGGGCGGGGCTGGGGCGGGGCCTCGAGGAGCCGCGAGGGGCGGGGGGGCGACGTGGACGCCCGCGGGGGTCCGGGGCGGGGCTCCGAGGGGCGGAGGGAGGCGGCGTGGGCGCCCGCGGGGGTCCGGGGCGCGGCTCCGAGGGGCGGAGCGGGGCGACGAGGTCGCGGGGGTGGGCCGTAGCCGGCCAGATTCCAGGCCCGAGAAAGTGGTGGGGTTCCCCTCCGGAAGCTGGCGTGTCGGGTCGCGGAGAGCGGGGCCCCGCCCCCCAGCCTCCCCGCTCCCGGAGGGGGCTCAGTCGCAGGCCGCCGCCGTACTCGCGCGGGGAGGGGAGGGGAGGGGAGTGGGAGGGAGGGAGGGAGGAGGAAGGGCGGGGATGTGCCCGGGTGCGGTCGGGGCCCCACCCGGCTGACCTGGGGAGGAGGGGGAGGGAGCCCCTGGCCCTTTCGGCTCCAGAGAGAGCGCCTCGCTTCGGGGCTAGGGAGCCTCCGAGCCCAGAAGGGTGCGGGGCGGGACGGGCGCCACTCTGGGCCGCCCCTCTGCTGTCGCTGGCTGGAACTGACGGCTGCGGCGCGGCTGCGGGGACTGGCTCAGGGCTCGTCCGGAGGTCCCCCGGCTGTAGGCTGTAGGCAGGCCCCTTAGAGGGAAGGCACTGCCGGGTGGTTCCCATAGTCCCTGCTGCTCCTGAGGCCCGGTGCCCATGCCCCTGTTTCCTGGAGGCAGAGGCTGCCTGAAGCTTCGGTTGGCACCCAGGGTAGACCCTTCAGCCCTGGGGGGTGTGGGCAGCCGAAAGACCCTGCGGCTTTCTCAGATTTCTGGCCAATTCCATATACTGGTCTGCGGCGCTGAGCTCCTTCCTGGTCCCAAAGACGCGCGGCCTGTGGGTTTGCACAGACAGGCTCAGTGTCCAGCGGCCCCCAGTGGACTCTGGTGGAGGTTTCCTTCCCTTCCTGGCCGGTTGTGCCCACGGGTGGGTCCTGCTCAGGACTGCACCTTCCCAACAACTCACCAGGTCAGCCCCACGCCTGGGCAGGGCAAGGCCAGAAACGGTGTGACCAAGTGTGTGTTCTGGGCAGGCGGGACCTGGGTCCGCCGGGCTCAGACTCAGTCTCTCCTGGTGCTGCAGCAGGTCCTTGCTAAGAGGACTTGGGGTTGGAGTCAGAGTGCAGAACGGCCAGCAGGTGGTGCCGTTGGCCCATCGCTATCTGCTCTACAGGGTCAGCGTGTAGAATTTTAGGGGATTGGGGAGTGAGTTTCACCGCAAAGAGTGAATCTGGATCAGAATTCAAGGGGTGGCGGAGTGACCCTGAGCCCCTGTGGCAGGAAGGTAGAGAGCCATGTGGACGTCAGGGACGTGGCCGGCGTGCGGGCTGGAGCTGGCTGTCTGGAGTCCAGCCCCAATGTGGGGCTGCCGTGCCCTGGCTGGGCCTGCAGTCAGGGGCCGCTCTGTTCACCTGAGTGTGCTGCTTCCCGTGTCCAGTGGAAGCCGAGCCACGGGCCGTGCTGAGCAGACGTTGCCCAGGTGTCCTCTGAGGTTCCCAGCTGTGACTTCAGCAGGCCATTGATCACTTACAGAGAGCTTTCACACACATTCTGCTTTAATCCTCTGTGAAATGGGACTGCTGGTAGAATTAGCTGGTGTTTATTTTTTTTATTTTCTTAAAATTATTTATTATTATTATTTATTATTATTTATTTATTTATTTACGATAGTCATACAGAGAGAGAGAGAGGCAGAGACACAGGCAGAGGGAGAAGCAGGCTCCATGCACCGGGAGCCCGACGTGGGATTCGATCCCGGGTCTCCAGGATCGCGCCCTGGGCCAAAGGCAGGCGCCAAACCGCTGGGCCACCCAGGGATCCCTTAGCTGGTGTTTATTAGGAGGCTGCCGTGGTGTTGCACGAGTCCCCTGGGCCACAGGCCACCCTTTGAGCAGGAGTGTGATTCTCAGCACGCTGTGTCCCTTATCCCTCCTCCAGGACACCTGCTCTGGCCGCTCCCTGAGCCCTGTCGCATACCTCACCCCCACCCCCCACCCCCGTTCCCTGCCTCATCTCCCACCTCCACCAGGCAGCAGCCTAGGGGGCAAGCCAGTGGTCAGCTGGCCAGCTTGTCTGTGCCCCTCTGCTTCACCAGAGAGGCTAGCTTCGCCTGGAGTAATCTTCCTGCATGGCTGGCTGTTGTAACGCCAAGGCTAGAGCACTTAGGCACTCAAGAGAAACACGGTGGGTCAGCTTGTCCCTGTTCTCACTAAGGTGGTCTCAGCACATCCCCTAATCCCCAGAGCTTGGGATCCTTTTGTCACATGCCAAGGGGGATGCACCCCGTTCTGGGACTGGGAGTGGACGCTTCCAGGCAGAGATGTTGGGGGACACAAGATGTCTGGGTGCTGGGCCTGGGTGCCCCTGACTGGGCATGCACCCTGGTGGTGCAGAGAGGTGGGCACTGCTGCCTTTTATGGGGAGCGGCTCCTGAACAAACCTGGAGAACAGGTTCCTCTACCCTGTGGCTGCCTGGAGGGCTCAGAGGCCCAGGAATGCACCTCACTCCACCAGATTGTATGGGTGTGCAGTGGTCATGGAGTGGGCAGGGGGTGGGCATGGGGTGGGGGCAGCCTGGGGGGGGAGAGGCGGAGAGGGGAGCCCTGGGTGCAGACGGGCAGCACCTCCAGAACAGAGCCAGGGCTGTACAACACTGGGTCTCCTGACAACCCCTGTAGCAGAGGCCTCTTCGGCTACAGGATAGTCCCAAGCAGTGTCCCCTCAGGGGCTTGTTAGGTGGGATCAGGGCGCGAGGCCAGAACATAGAGGCTGGGCTTGGGGTTTGGGCTTGTCTGGGAGGTGATGTCAGTGGTTCCAGGGCATAGGTGGGTGGCTGGGGACCACTGTGTCCCCTGGGCTGGTCAGGGGTGGGATTTTCCTGGCAGAACCATTTGTGTGGCCAGAGCAGAGCCAGCCTGGCACTCTGGGGCTCAGGGCCATGGTCAGGGTTTCACGGGAGCCAGGACAGGAGTCCGTACTTGAAGGCTGAGGAGGGACACGGTTGCATCACGTGGCAGAGCTAAGAGATCAAAGCTCAGGGAGGCTGTTCTTCGGTCAGAGCACACATCTGGGGAATCCAGATCTGTCTGGTCCCAGATCTGTATCCTAATGATTTCACCTGTTGCTGGGTGGGGGTGGGGTCTCCATGTAGCTGTACCCGTCATCCTGGGTTGAGCTGGTTGGTAGAAGACACTAAGGGCCCAAGGAGGAAACAATTCAGGAGGGCTTCCTGGATGAGGAGGCTTTACACTGGCAGAAGGAGAGGGAGCGCTCTATCCAGACAAGAGGCTGGGGTGATGGGTCATCCTTCTGGCCTCTCATGGGGCTGGCGAGAGAAAGAAAGGGAGGCAGGGAGGGAAAGTCCAGGCCCCTGCAGGGTGAGGACCCATGGACCAGGGAGGGCATCGTCTGGGCAGGGTGTTGAGAGTGGCATGGGTCACCTGTATGCTGTCTTCACTCCAGCCAGGACAGTGGCCTCCCTCCCAGGGTGCGAGGAGGGCAAGCCCTGTCCTGGGCCACGCCCTGGGTGGGGCTGTGGGCAGGGTGGCCACCTTTGAGGGACTGAGTGCTGGAGGCTCCTGGGAGACACTCTCCCATGGTGCCAGGCTCCTTGTAGCAGCCTTCTCATTGTGGGGATGGGGACTGGGCTGCCGTGTCTGCATAGCCCTGCGACCCTGGGCGGCCCCCACCTTCCCTGGGCCTCAGCGTCCTCACCTGCCGAGGGGGGCAGCAGAGGTGTCACCTCCCCAGGCTCTGGGAACTGCAGGAAGTGTGTGCGTGTGCTGGCCGGTGTGGGCCTGTGGGACTGTGGGCTCAGGGTCCTGGGGAGCAGGGGCTGAGGACTCTGACGGTGCTGGTGCTGGGAGGGTCGGTCTGGGGCACTCCTGACCAGCTCCCGGCTCATCCCAGAGCAGGTGCTGGCCTGCCTGCAGCAGGGCTCCCCCGGGGGGACCCATCCTGCCAGCATCTCCTCTAGGGCGGGACTCTGAGTCTCCCGTGCTCTGGCTGCATCCCCCTCGGAGCGTGGACTTCACAGGTTTGTTCCAATCCACAGAGATTAGAAACCGCTGAGGGCAACAGTGCCTCCCAGCTCCTCTGGGCACCTCAGGGTGCTCACCAGTGAGGCAGACAGAGGCAGCCGGGATATTTTAGTTTCAGAGTTGAGGAAGTGAGGCTACTGAAGGCG